TTCCCCGGCAGCGGAGGCAGCGCTGACCCCGCACGGCTCCGCTGCTCCCGGCAAAGCTGCCAGGGCTGTGCCCAGCCACCCTGAGCCCAGCGCACAGATGGCATTTCACGGTGCTTCCCGAGCTGCCATTTGGCCCTGCCCCGGGCAGCTGAGCGGGCAGAGCCATTCCCGGGCTCAGGACATTTCAGCTCCTTATGGAAATGAACCCTTCACTGGGCTCGGCAGGGTGAGCTTGAATAAAGGGACATAAAACACACTCTAATGGCAAAGGGAAGGATTTGGCTCTTGRATGGATGAACTGTCCTTCAGGTTGGCTCAAGTCCGGTCATGTCTGAAAGGGTTTCTTTCATGGAAGAAAGGTTGAGTTTTCAAGCTCAATTTAAAATGAAAAAAAAATTGTCCTGGCCACTTAAAGAAGTGCTCCTTTCAACATAATCCCTGCTCAGGGAGGACACCTGCAGCAGAGTCATCTCACCTAACTTTAAATGTCTGCAGGGCAGYTGGCTACCTGAGAGAGCTCCTGTGTCCCAGCCCAGCTCCATTCACTGAACAGTGAAAATGGGAGTTTTCAGGACACARTGCAACTGACCTATTTTAGTTTCCTGCTACAGGATGAGATGAATCAGCCCCAGCAGTGCCTGTTTCTCTCTGCTGACTATAAAGGGAGTCTGGCAAATATACCTCTGGCCAGGTAAATACCACCCTTCATGCTGAATACAAGCAGKAAGAAATGCACAAAAATGCTCAGAATGGGATTAATTCATACCATTCACACCATGATGCAAGTGAAGCATTTAAGACCTACAGAGCGGAAGAAGCACTCCAATKAACTTTAATATGAAGCCAAAAGGATCCTGGTAACACAAGGAAATTAATATCTAGGCAGCAGGTCCCTAGAGTAATTGCACAGTTGTTACAAGGGGAAGTTGCAGAAAACTACCATTTGCAAGGTTGCAGCAAACATAAAGATATTATCTTGATGYAGGCCAATGCAGATACTATCTTGATCCAAAGGCTCCAAACATCCAGGGTTCAACTTGCACAGCTGAACGACTACAGATGGAAAAAGCCTGAAGAGGGTGGCTGATGAAGGAGCAAGATGCCTGCAGTTCAACTTAGGTTCATATGGGAMACACCAAGAGCGGGCTCAGATATCTTCCAACAGAGTATTTAAAGAAAATATCTGCGATTCATGGTCATGGTGACTGATGTTTGCTTGCCTACCTTACATATGGATAACAGCCATGCAAAATGAATAAAGGATTCAATGAAAGGATTGAAAGGAAAATTTAAGTATTCCAGCTTTGCTTACTTGGTCTAATGAATGACACTATCTCTGCCTAAAAGCCTCATCCCAAGGTTTGTCCCTTAATACYTCTATGGTCAGAGCAATTTATCAGTGTCTGAACATGACCACCAGCAAGCCACTTAACTGAATCAGTCTGGATGAAATTTAATTGCAAACAAGACAAAAATGTGTTGTAGTTAAGGATGCCATTTCCAAATTTGTGAAAAGGAATTGAAGAGAACAAAATCCCACCAGTTCTCAAATGATTTGCATTCTTGGCTTTCCCCACTGTATCTGAGWTCCAACACTGCCAGTGTTGTCAGTACTATCAGGACAGAAATTGCAATYAAAATATTCATAGCTAATTACATATACAGCTCTGTCACGCCCTGTACCTATTACCATGCCCCTGTAATTCAGTGTCATGGCTTGAGATTCAAGAAAATTCTATTTTCTAGAATTCTAATTTCTAGATTCTAGTTTTGTAGASAAACTAATCATATGCATGATTTTCAAAAAACATATATATGAAGAGACAYAGTTTGTATTTTAGTATTTCAGAAATAAATCCTATTAACATCTACTGGTGATCAACTAGTATTTCCTTAACTGGCCCAATCACTGCATGGAACTGTGTGGTGCTATCACTTCAGGAAGTGTAAATATTTATAGCAGACTTCTCTTGGCTGCTGTAGAAGTGTGGACAGAAAACAGTTGACTTTCTGAGGCACAATCAMTGTTGGCTGGAACATAAAAGTCAGCTTTTATCACTCCAGCAAAAGCTGGCAACATCCACAAATGGAAGTTCAAGGACAGAGTTGGCTCCCAGGCCAGACAGAGCCTGGTGCAGCGATGTGTGACAGCCTTTCCATGTCACTGGTGTGCGTGACACCAAGATCACAGAGAAGATGGCTGGGAAATTTAGGGCATTAGGAACCAAATGATCATCTGAGTCTTGAATCTTGAGATTGCCAGGTTGGCTTTGTCACATTCATACAACTCATCTGCTCTCTGTAACATACTTCAAAAGTTTGCTTGTTTAGAAAAACAAGACTTTTCATAACTTTGCCTAACACCTTAAAATGCAATATAGTATTTATCTATGAAGTCATCTATTCTAGCAAGACTTTACAAATCTGATATAATTATTACTTCCTAAAGATCATGGGCTGAAGAATAACATTACAGTGGTGTAACAGGGGTCTTCCAGTTTTAGATTTCTRCCTACATTTACATTAACTAAGCTTTCAGGGCTTCTCTTTCCTGATACAGAAGACAACACAGCTGCAGCCTTGACTTGCCTACAGTTAAGAGAGAAARGCAGTTTTGCAAAAGCTCATTATTAATTTAAACCATCACTGTGCATGGTTTACTTCCTTTACAAGAGGATTATGTACCCCTTCCAAAAGCACTGAAGAGTTTGAGTACAGGCGGTGGAGGGAAGAGTTCAGTTTATACTTTCTGCCACTTTGCAACTTATCCCATGAGTGGAGAGAAGGTAATGGTATTTATGAYACATCTCCTGAGGCACCTTTTTTCATTTTTCAAGACCAGTCCTAGAGTGCAGATAAGTTACTGCTCCATTACCATAAATGTAGAGAAGAAAGAAGTATGRTTTTTACCGTATGAGAGCAAGCCTGTCTTTTTCAGATGGATGATCATCGAGCCACTGGGAGTAACGGGCAATGGACCACTCAGCCCTCTGATACAGAGAAACACAAACACCAATTACACACAAATGTGAAAAAGGAAACAGACACACCAATTTYAGAATCAAAGATAAACGAAAGCCACATGAGGCTCTCTTAATACTGCAGTCATGCAAAATGAGTTAAGGAATCAAAGACAATTAACAGGAATAGCCCAGTATGTTACTGGGGCGCTCAGAGGTGATCTAAATCAGCTGYTGGCCCATTTCTGACAGAGGTTTTATCTAGATTTCCTGCATCTTACATGAGTAGGATCCAGGCARTTTRCAGTCTGGGAAAAGATCTGCAACTTCTACTATAAGCTGACAGAATCATAAAGAATTGAGWGTCTATTTAATATCAGGTTATCATATATCTTCTATTAATCAATGAAATTAATAAATTAGATTAGTAAACCAATACCATAATACCTTTGTCACAATAAAAACAAACCCAAAAATTGTATAAAACATGCATTTGAATAATTTTAAACAAAAACAGCTAGGGCAAACTACAATGCTCATTACACCTTAGGATATCTGAAAAGGAAAGACAAGTTGATCTTATTACCTGRAAGGGTGATTTTAGCTCTGGTGGTGCTCTTGTAAATAAGAACTGAAGAATGATRCTGAATGGAATAACTTCTCCCAGAGCTGGGCTACTGGCAATATGCTCACTGGTCTGGAACAGCAGTGGTCTGGAGAAATGTAACAATATACTCATCAAATGAAGAAAAAGTGCCTCTATGTGGAGGAAATATTACATTTGGATAGAATCATCTAATTTTTTGCAACTACTCTGCATTTTGGGTTTCCAWCACAGGTCCAGTTTGCAAAAAATTACAGCATTTGCCTATTGTAATTAAACAACACAAGACCGTAAATTTTATATTTCAGTGAAAACATTTAAGGTAACTATAGAACTCGCTGTCATAGAGAAGATGTACTGAAAGCAACACAAAAAAGTACAATTTGGCCAACATTTGCATGACAAAGATTGTTAAATCATAGTTATACTCYGCATAAAATTTCAAAGAACTTTAATCTATTTCTAATTTGCAGGTGGGTGTTGCCAAAAAAGCTCTCAGTTCAGTCAGAACTAACACGAGGTAATAAATCAGTTTTGAAATAGTTTAGTCATACTGCGACTGCAACTCACCTGAATGACCTCAGCTGTCTGTAAGATTTTCCTAAGTCAGAGACTCGCCGGCACAGCGGGGCTACTGCTAACTCCATCTACAAAAACAAACAGTTCCCTTTGAATTAGATTCTCCCAAGATATAACACCTGCTATTGAAGCAGCCTGTCTTTAAGCAATAATCCAAACTTGCAGACTAAGTCAGTGACTTCTCTCTGGTGGCTGAATTAAGACAAGAAGCTGTCTTTTGCTTTCATACTATGTTGCCCAAGCCAAGACTTCTGCCTTATTCTTGGCAACACAAWAAGCATTTCATGACAAATGACAGAGATAGACTGTGGATAACAACAGAAGGGGCCTCATGAGCTTTCTGAGACTGAAGCTTTGTTTCTTGCAGCAAGTTTGTTTTGTTGATGGTGAGTTTCCCGASGAAGCACTTCTGTCAATACCCCAAAAATCTGACCACAGCCTGGAAGAAAGCAAATCTAGGCAGGTCTCCACAAACCATTGCTAAAGCAGCAAAACAGCAGACACATTACAGCTGGGCACCCCTTTCTTTGCTGAAGGATAAGGTTAAAATGATTCCTTCCTGAACAGTGGATCCCACATTTTTGGGCACAAAACCTATCCAATTAGATAGAAAACAGCTGTGATCTACTGCCATAGGGTCATATGGAATCATGGGCAAAAAAGCAAGAGCATTATTTCCATACTTATTTTCATACTGTTTGGTTTCTGAGTTACAGCAGCCATCTTTAAAAACCAACAAATTCAGAACATTTTCCATTTTTTAAGCATGAGAGTTCTGCTTTTTTGAAGAAGAGCCAGGCTCTACTTCACAAGCTCTTCATTAACAGTGAGGACATAGAAGTGAGAAAGAACAATTTCTCTTCTGGATCCCAGACTGAACATGAACATTACACACAGAATTTCAGTTAATGTATACACCAATACAAACAACACCACTTGAAAAACCTCACAAGTAATTTTAGTCAGACACAGATTAAGTTTTTATTTTTTGCAYTCCTGAAGTGTCAGTCAAATGAGGGATCAAGCTTTATTCTCCAAGTACATTTTTTAAAATCCCCAACTTGAAAGACTATTCAGACTTTGATTATAGACACATAATGCACAATTAAACGAAGTTTCAAAGGATGACAGCTAAAATGAGTAACAAGATCAAAACCACCATACAATGAGTTTCCCATTTAAGTAATATTGCTGAGCGAGTTTGAAAGTGTTTGTGATATGACACTGTTTACAGCAAAGTCTTTAATACTGTCATATTATTCCTTCCAGCTGTAGCAGTTCCTCAGACAGAGCTGGCTGCTGGGCCACCAGCTTCACCAAGAACACGTAACTCTGCTGGGGTTCCAGCATGAACAAGAAACAAGGTGTAGTAAACTACAATGCCACAGCTCATCTGAACCCAGAAGAACTTAAATTAGCAAATAATGCAAATCAAGGCCATATACTTYAGGCATCTCTCTTAAAAAACAGGTGGCAGGATGGGAGTAATCTCACCTACTTCTCAACCTCTACAGGTCCTCTTCATAGGCAGAGGAGAGGAGACAGCCACTCTTGGGGGTGAGGCCCATTCCCCAAGGTGGACACCTGAAATAGGTCAGGTGGATCATTTTGTAGGAGTAACCCCTACAGGACACTCAGACAAAGCTGGCAAAGCCACAGGGTCCAATCCAATCTTGGCTCCCCTGCAGAGCAGGAGAGGTGGGTGCCTCTGGAAGGCAATGRGGAATGCCCCACAGAGCTTTCCCATGGGCAGTGCACAGCCACWGCCTGAGCCCAGGGATCTCAGAGTACAAACCCACATCAGGCACTTGCAGGCCACTGGAAATCTGCATTTTATGTAGATTTCACTCACAGGAGTAGAAAGTGTATAAAAATCCAGAAAGTGGAAATAAGGCTCCAACTCTGGGTAACAGCCTGGCCTCCTCTTTCCTTTGCTGCTTTTCGGTCCCCAGATTTTTGGGCTATGAAATGGMCCCTCTCTACACCCTGAGGAGGTGGTCATCTCTCCTGCATGCAGGTGGGAAGTCAAGGTCCCTGTGGCTCAGGAGCCACGAGCTGTGCTCAATCTGCCAGCACAAGGCACTGAGGTGCAGGGTGTGCTCCCAGGAAAGGCAGGCTCTGCAGGGAGCTGCTGCAGGGAGCTGCTCCAAMTCCACGCTGCCATGAAGCTCTCAGCAAGTTGAGCATGTTGTTCCCCCAGGTCCCCCAAATGGGAGCCAAGAGGCCGGTCTGCCATGCAGGATCAGGAGMAAGCAGCCTAAAAGAGGAGCTAACTAAATACGCCTTGCTGCATGATGATATTAGAATCCCACAGATTCTGAAAAACAAATGGGAGCAAAACTCTGATTTCTCCAGGGCCTCTTTTCAGGCATCAGTATTGGCTGGGGGCAGCTGGAAGTGACTGATATCCTGCAGGAACTGGTGTCCCAGCTCTGGTGGGAGCTGTGGGCTGGTAGCTGTGAGGGATCAGGGAGAAGATAATTCCTTTAGGTTCTTTGGAGACTTTGATAACAGGCAACAAACTGCCAGTCTGACTTGTGGAAACAGAGATGCGTGCATCAAACTGCACTCATGAGGGGGAAGAAATAACAGCATAGCAAAATATAATTTTGCTTAATAAGTTTTAAAAGATTGTTTCGCTCTTGGAACATAATATGAAGTAATGAGATGTAAGTGAAACTTTCTACAGCTTAACCAATTCCTTATTAAAACAAATTTAAATGAATTCTCTTGAATATACTTTGTAGTTTCCATAAATTAAAATTTTTAGTTTTAAGTACTAAAGAATAAAAATTACTTTGGAAAATTCTATTACTTCATCTTCAACCTTTATTCACTGTAGGAAATTATTAGTATTGCTAGAACTAGATAGATTTAATGGCAGCAGATGGTTGATTCGTGAAGTAATAGCTGCCAAAGAAAAATACTGKTTTTAAGCTTTGCAGCATACTATACTATCTCACATTGACTCATGAAGAGTGGGAATGAGTGAAAACTAATGTGGCAAAAATGTACATAAACCACAGAAACTTTAAAAAAATTTACAATACTAGTCTGCTTTGTGTTATAACCCAATCTCTCCAATAAGAAGTGTAATTCACATAATTACTAAAACTGTTTTCTTTGCTTGAAGTTTAGGTGTTTATCTGAGCCCAGTGACAGAGCGGGATGCTGCACAGGATCCTTCTGCTGTCACAATCATTTCTGAGGCCACTGAGAGGGGTTCAGTGCCTCTGCTGAGCATCGTGCCAGCCCAGGAGCAAGTGCTGGGGAGGAACCATTCAGCTGGAACAGCTGCTGTTTTCAAGGTGCTGGAATTGGGCAGAGAATTGARCGTGCATCACTTCTCAGTTGTGTTACCTGTCATCACCTGAAATGGCATCTACTGTTGATTCACACAGAGTTTACAATGCAGCAGCTTTTGCTGTGTTACACAGCAGTAGTTTCCAAAGCCTGTCTGTGAGCTCTCATAGGTTGGGGGATGTTTTTGGCTGTTGGCAGCCACTATTTGTATCATGTGTGCGAGGCCTTTCACACAGCCATGTCCTGTGGACTTTACATATAAAAGGGTAAATAGTATTTTCTGGCTTTTTTCCCCCCAAATTTCCCTTCCAGAACTCCAAATYTGAAAATACAAATATCAAGGCTAAATTCAGTGATAAGTCAGGTGTCAAGCAGTAATTTGCAACCACAGAAGCGTGATATGATATAATCATTAACACAGCATCCCAGGGAAGCACCAGGAGATGCATGTGCTTGCCAAAAAGCAAGCAGCAGATAGAACAGAAGAAGGCCTAATGACTTGTTTCTTCCAGCTTTGTTCAAAACCCATTATTTTTCCATGATTTATTCATTTTAGTTTGCTATGCTTTGCAGGACACAGTGGCAGACTCCTGCCCAGCATATGCTTCTTCTCAATGGTTCATGCTCTTCAAGCCCAAAAGGGCAATATTATCTTTTCTTCTCATATGACTCTGCCATAGCCCATGGCTAGGTCAATTATCTGTTGAACTATTCACAGACTGGCTATATTGAAAAAAATCCATCACATGCCTGGCTTTTCTAATTGGATTATGTTCAGCAACCCAAGGGTGAAGTTAATACATAGTYTAGATACAGATAATGCATATATATTGAAAAGTGCTTTTAAAAACCCCACAGTGAAGTTATTGTTTAGTGCCTATTGTGGTATTTTCAAGATCTCTCATTACTAAACAGCTGCTTTTTCAACTGGAAAATATTAACATTAAATTTTTAGCAATTACATTTCCTCCTGGCCAAGATGAATTCCAAGTTTTTAAATGTTAACTCAAAATGCTTTTTTCTAGCTATTCACCAAGACAGAATGCTTTAACAAGCAAGTGAGCAGAAGAGCTCTGAACTATTGCATGAAAGAAGCTGACCTTGAAGGGACATAGAATTTGATTTCTCCCCAATCCAGCAATTCCTAAATGGTTGATGCTTAGGTAAATCCTTCAGCTGTAGCACACATCAGCRAATAATTCCCTCTTTCCAGGAAGATAATTAGCACTAAACATTAAATGTATTTTAGCTTTAGTAGTTTCTGTCTTTATAACTACAACTGTGATTACAGCATCCTGCTGCTCTCATTTCCCAGTAAGAAATGAGAAAGGAAATCTTTAAGGCAAAATTATAAAAAGCACTTTTACATTCATATCGTCATGTTTGATCAAATGAGCAAATCTGTTTACATTTTAAAAAATCCAAATGCCTAATATTCTTGCTTTTTTTTTTTTTTTTAGTGCCACTTATTGAATTAGGTAACCAGATTCTGACCACAAGGCTAGCCAGCAGATAGAAACAGCTCTAGAATTTTGCTTTGTAAAATTCTACTATAAAAACATTCTTCTAGGAAAATTCAATAAAMCCCAAACATTTTGCAGTAATATTTTGAGAATAACCTGAAGTAATGGTGGCAGTGTTAACTGTACCCTATCAAAACTGTTTGAACATAGTACTGAAMAATGCCAAAAATCCCAACTGTAAATCATGCCTAGATAAGGAATACAGAAAAACACATAGAGAATAGTATTAACTCAAACAGGACCAATAAAAATAGTTCACTCGACAAGGCTGAAAATTTCAGTCACGACATGAGGCGGGGTTCTTGGCACTGACAGTGGCTCCTGCCTTGTGTGGCGCTCCAAAATAGATGGGAAATCATGTCACGCCTTCATGCCATGAGGCATAATGATTACTYTGTCTTTGCAATCTCTAGACTAGTTTATTTCAATGCAGTTGTGATTTGTATTTGCTATTAATAAACAGCTATTTTCCTGTACCAGCTTACAAACTCTGTGTAGCAGASTACTAATTTCCATGCCAAATATTACTGTATATTCCTCATTTCTTCTAAACAAACTCCTTAACTGATTGTGCTKATACTTCATTCATTCTCTGCTGCAAAGTCCAGCCCTTCCCCTGGGTTTTAGGAACAAGCCACAATCCCAAAGTGGGCCTAAGTGCTGTAACAACTCTGACCACCAAGCAATTGAAAAGGTCCTTTGGAGAAGAACTTCTACTCCCCAGAAACAGAAATGTTGAAAACCATCAGGGCTTGCTGGCTTGCTTGCCTCCAGGAGAAGCTTTTTTTTTTTTCAGTCTGACAAGTACTGAATTAAAAAGTAAAATTTGGTATTAAATATGTGAATACTGAATTACAGGCACCTTCAAAATACAAAACCAAATAAAACAAGCTGATTCAGGAATATACAGGAGTGAGCTGAAAAGTAATCTTATGCAGTTCCCTGCATAAAAACTGAGAGCATGTAAAGAGGTGAATTCAGCCTGTAGACTGCAAATATTTCAAATGAGACTCCCAAGGAACTGTGGCACAGCACTCAATAACAACCTTGCAGTGCTGTGCACATTTCCTAGGGCTTGCAATGTCCCTGTAAGCAGTGATTTACATGAAATCATATTAATGATATTCAGGCATATTTCCAGCCTATCATAGCTCTGTGTACAGCTGCCACAGCAGCACACACCTGGTCTCAGTGCTGAGAAATCTGTAATGCACAGGACAGCCAAATGTGATACTGACACTGAAAACAGGGTAAGACACAAAACCAACAGAGCTACAGCAGTAACCCCTAAGGTGTTGGTAGCTGAGCCTCGCTCCAGAAAATTGGCTGTTATGCACCTCATCAAACCCAGCTCTGAATGAAGAGAACTTGAGATTCGTTTTCCCCCTTCTGTGTGGACACCTGTTGTTTTGAGGGAACTTACCARTAAAACATGTTTTCAGTGCAAAAATTTTCAAATCAGACTCTCAGCCACAGTTATTCTGCTGAGTATAAGGCAGCTGTAACTCTGTGAGTGCCCTGAAAGAATGTTCACAAGCATGAAATACCCAAAATCTGATGCAATCCAAAGTTATTTGACTGATTGCATGTGTGTTTATAATAAGAACTCATATTAACCAAACCTTCTGGACAGATTTGTGCCCAGGTTTTTTGCTGACAAGCAAYCTCAAAATACCAAAAGGGGTTTTAGATCTCTAAAGTCAGTTCTGTGCAGGAAYATGTAACCCCTTTTTTGAGTAGAGAAAATTCAAGATTACTCTACAAGACAGAGCACAAGTAAAAACAGTTTATAAACAAACCTACTCCTACACACAGTATCTTTCCAGGCTGGTTGTTTCCTTTGGGTTTGGCTTTAGTCCAACAATGCAGTGCTTTTCTAGGACTGAAAAAAATCCTGCACACAGCATTTATGGCCATTTGGAAAAATTTATCCTTCCCATCAAGCCATCAGCCCAGCTAAATACCTGCTCGCTGCCCTCYTCAGCCCAAAGCAGCAGGAACCTCTCCTAGTTTTGATCAGGATTAAAGCTGCATTTWCACTGGGCCAATGTGCCCAGGACTCCTGGCTGGGTCAGAGCAACAACAACCCTCCTGCCAGGCTCCCAGGAGCAGGCATCATGGGCATGTGCCCAAAATCCACCAGGTTTTTGGGAGGAGCACACACATCCCAGAAAACACAGTTATTAGGCAACGTTCACATACAAAATGTTTCAATCTTTTTTCTTCCATCCTGAGCMAGAGGATACAGTGTCCAGGCCATGCTGGACTCTACAGCCCCTGTGCAGCCTGGGACACCCAGAGGAGCTCTGTGCAGAGATGCTCAAAGGCACAGAGTGAGCACTGAGGTGGCTGCGTGTGGCTTGCTGGACATGATTTCTTGTCTTAAGCCCATTTTTAAACAAGGCAAGAATATGCTGCAATGTAAAGAAAAAAAASACAACGCAACCCCCAGATGCAGTAACAGTTGAAGGCAGGAGACAGGAATGAATTCAAAACCTTTTTTTTGATTCTGCGGTACAAAAGAAATCAGAATATTTATCTCTACACAGCTGTCCATTCAGGAGTTATACTCAGCACAGCGAGGAAGACCATGCAAATTCCTCTACACTCTATGAAAGCATATCTTCATTTTTCAAATAAAGGTTGCCCATGTCAGAATGAGAAAAATCAGTGTTTAAAAAACTATAAATAAGTTATATTTTTAGATTATAACAGGTGCTTAGATCAGATGCTCTTACTGTAGAACCAGGTGAAAATATTTTCCRGATTTATATGACTTACTTTAGCTAAAATTAGCATAAATAGCACAGATTACAAAAATTATCTCTATTCCTTCCACAGGAAGAGTCAAGTGTCCTTTTYTTGCTTCCAATTTTATGCTATTGTCTTCAAAATAGAGAAGGGAATGGAACCTTCTCGCTGAAAGCAATTGAAAACATCCCCTTCATTTCTGTGGTTAAGGGCTGATTTGCTATTTTTGAGTAATGAATAAAAAAAAATTTACTCGAGCGTATGTAACTCACAGGCAAATGGTACAAAGCAGCCACAAGAAGGAGTGGAGGTGGCAGCAATTCCTCCCTCCCTGCCTTCCTCTCGTACCTCAGTTACCTACCAGCCAAAAGCAGCACTCAGCATGCAGACAGCTGGTGCTAATTCCCTTTTCCACTTGGATAATAATAAACGGCAGCCTCAGATKGATCTCGTGGATGCCTGATTCTTTGGCACGTTAACCACACAGTGGTACTGCTGACAAATTAAATTTTAATACAGCAGATAACACAGACAGGTAGTGGATATGAATCTGGCAATTCCTTTTGTGGTTTAGTCCTATAGAGGAGTTAGGTAAAGCTGAGAGGCAGGTCAGTCAYTGGGGTCGTGAAGAGAATCCCACAAGAAAACTGCCCTTGTGTTTCCAACAGGACAGCTCTTCCCCAGGGTATTGACATTTCTTTAGCTTTTCTCCTTTGCTGCAAAGCAGCTGAGTTAGCCATTAACCAYTGTGGGYACTGTGATATATAAAGTGATTAAGAAAGTGACACACCATATTCCATTAGAAGAGAGAGAAAGAATGAAGGAAATGAATGGTGGCAAATGATGGACGTGCCAAAGAGATCGGCCAAGTGGGATAACATGCTGAGATGCAGCTGAATTTAAATGCAACAGTCACCTGACAGGAAGTTGTCAGACCTCTCTGAACGTGCCTCACAGAGATGAGGGATCTTCAGCTACTTAGTGGATGAATTCTCAGGATCCAGTGTCTTATCAGAGAGAATACTTAGACCTGGAATGCACCAACCTCTACAAATGCCTATTTATACTTCGATGGGGACAAAAATATTGATACTTTTCAGCTAAATCAGTGAAGTGACACTAAAAAGCAGAAATCAGTATGGAGGGTACCTGTGCAAAATCTGCTGCCAGGCGCATCTTCCCACCTTCACCGAGGGGCCTTATCAGACTGGCATTGCGAATGAAAAGCTCAATTGCTCTTTGAGCCATGGCTTCAGTGTTATCAAAGACAAAGTCAAAACACTCAAAATGTCTGAAGTAGTCGCTCATGACTCTTGCTATAAAACCCTGTAGCTCTTTCATGTAGAGAGAACAAGGGACATCTGGTTTTCCTGAGCTGGATAATGATCTGAAAAAAAAAATAAAGAAAAATAATTAGGGGCAGCTAAATTCACCTTTTAAAACACAATCAAAACCTGTTGGATTCTTTTAAATTTTTTCCTACCCCACCAAGTTGTAGCATGAATTGTAGAGTCTCATTTCTACTCAGAATAAGGAGCATGTAGCTCTGTCTGAAACTATAGTCAAGAAACATCTGTTTATCAGTCATTGCCATTAARAATCAAAAGATAAAACAAGAAATAACAAGATAAAAGAAATCACCCCACTCCTACCCAAGCTGCAGAACCTCCACCTCCATCAGTTTGGAGYCTACACCCTCAAATCCAGACCCTAAATTTGAATGTCCCAGCTGTTGACTCAAAACTCCAATAATGGATCATAAAATATAAACATATGTCACAGGGTTATTAGTTTAAACTATCAATCCCAAACCTGCTCTCTGTATAGAATTAGCTTCCTAGATTCCTCCAAACCRAGGATTATAAAGTCAGTATCACAGAGGCAGCACAGAAGCCCCTGGACACAAACCAATCCCTTTTTCTTTCTTTGACAGTCAGTTAAAGAAGCTCTTCCAAATGCAGAAGAACGTACAGGCTTTCTAACAAAACAGCCTTTGGCTGGAAACAGTTCACCTACCTAGAGAGGTTTTGTGCTACTGGTGCCAGAAAAGGAGCAGGAGGGGAAAATATTGTTTAAAAAAAGAAAAAAGTCAAAAATATCTCTGAAAATACAYTATTTTCAGTGAAGTTTCAAGACAAAAACAGGATAATTGATGATGATATAAGCAATGTCAGAACAGACATGACAACCAAATAAAATATAGGAAGGAAGAATCATAGATAAGACTCAAGATCTTGGCACATAAATAATACTGGAAATTAAAATGAAAACGCTATGGGAAAATACCATAACACATGAAACTGAAGATCTAAATTTAAAAAAAAAATAAAATTAACTATTTCATCRGAGACTATATGCTTTGAGAAACAGGAATATTGACAGTTCTGAAGACTGTTCATAAAAAATACATTTTTAAAGCAAAAGAGTTTTTTTAAGCACAAAAATGGCATCTYGTCAGCTTTCTTTTTCTATTTGAAATGAATTTTACTCAACAGATATGAATTGGGGGGGGGAGAAGACAGGGAGGGGGGGAAGAAGACAGATGCCACCTGATTAATTTGTTTCAACAGATAGGAGTAATTCTGCTTCCTGTGTTCATTACCATAAAGCATCTCCTTCCCCTCAACAAACAAGCACTCCTGCTTCAAGGACATTGTGGCAATAACAATCTATTACACGCTTGCAGGACATCTTACTAGAGCAATGGCAAATGTAAAAGATATTTCTAGTTACCCAGAAAAATCTTCCTGGTGCATAGTGATGATAATAGCTTCCACTGAATCTCCTACAGAGTTCAGGAGCGGCTGAACAGCACTACCCATTAGAYCATGGACTGCCTAAAATAGAATAGGAAAAAGGCAGAAGTAAGGAAACAAAAACTAGAAGCATTTGCATTTTGACATCTCAAAAATACCTTAGGAAACAGTTAATTTCTTCAGTGCTTTTTATTATTCTGCATTAGAAAATGCTAAATAGGAGAAYCAAAGCCTAAGAGAACATTTTTCTTTAATTGATTTTACCAGTGAAGTACAGAAATAAAGCTGCTTGCTGCTTCTGTGTTAAGCCTTCCTTCAAAAAGGTGCACAGCAATTTGGCATCCCTGGATCGTACATGTACATGTTCTGGTGCAAACACGTGGCTCAGTTGTTCATTCCCCAGACACAAGCTGCCCTTCATTCCYCTGCACACAACCCCTTGCAGGTCTGTGCCCAGCAGGATGGACGTGGAGAGCTGTCATCCACAGAGGCTGCATCGCCATCCACATCCCCCTCCAGGACACTACCAGGTCACATAAAAATTATAATTTGATGTATCTGTCAGGGGGAGGAAGGGGTGATGAAGGATCCAGCTATTGCTGTGTGAATGCTGCAGAGAAATACATTTATTTTCACAGTCAGATGACATCTATGTTCTGAATGTTGTGAGAATATTCTGAATACAAACATGACTCAAGCAGTGATTTGGCACAGGTAACACATATATAGCTGCAGAACAATATATTAGAAATGTCAGAATATTTGTATACTTATTACTAAACATATTGATATAAAATAATATGTGGGAAATAAGTGCCCATTTTAAGTGTAACAAACAAAGCCAAGCTCAACCCTATCCCTGCAGCATATGGACATTCAATTACCTTTAAGGCAGTTGTGACTGTTTGCTCAGCGGCTGCTGGAAATGAGCTCTGACTGGTGATAACCTAAAAATTGTAAAGCAATTTTTAATAGTCAACATTCAACAAATTATTGGAAACCAGAATATTCAACATCATCTAAAAACATACTGAGCAATGAGTGTTTACACAGTTACAGATAACTATCAAGTGTGTTTTATACAGACAGAATTTTCAATGCATCAGGATCAGTCTTTCCTCTCAGATTTCCTATGGACTCTGTTTCTGCCTTGGCAAAGAAATGACTCAATGGAGTTAAGCTGAAATTTAGCTGAAGGGCTAACAGAATCAGAATAAAAATAACTGGTGTATTCTCCCACTGCTAAGTATAGAATTCATGTAGAACTATACAAGCAGCTCTGTGGCAAACACTTGAAAGAAAGGCTGCTCTTTGTCAGTATTATGACTACTACAGCACTACATGTTAAATAATTGTTTATTAAAACAATAAATTGTTTATTAAAACTAAAACAATATTAAAATTGAAAACCAAGGAATGATGTGAAGGACTATTCTACCAATTTCCTTACAGTTATGAATGCACTACACAATAGTATTTTTAAGCCAGATAAGTACTGAACTCAAAGACTGAATCATATCAGAACTCCCTCCAACACGAAGACACATGAGGTTCATTACTAAATACATCAGAGAAAGCAGACTTCAAAGTTGATCTACCATCTGTTTGCAAAATCCAAGGATATTTTATAGGCTTTTTAGCATTTTTTTWAAATTCTTTGAACACATCCAGAGTTAGGAGTACTCAAGATAATTTTCCTAATCAGGCTAGGATTTAAATATGATTAACTACAACTACCAATATATCTGTTTGTTTTAATTTACAAAGACTGTAACAACTGGCATCACTGGACCAGCAAATCAGAATTATTCATAATTGCTCTTAGTCCTGAAAAAATTCCAGGCCAGGCTTTCATCACAGGGACAATGTATGGAAACATTTGTGATGTGTTGCTTTTCTTGATTTCACCCTTTCCTTCCCCTTTTCAGTTTAGCCACAGTTCTGGGAAAGCATTGAAAGTCTTCTGAAAAATACAAGCTTAGGCTAAGGAAGATGCTGCAAGGGGACGATCAGGCTTATTAGTACCAAGACAGATAAGAAGAAATAGAGTTCAATTGTTTATGCTCACAAAGTAATGGTTATGATATGGCTATTCTCTATAAACACATCTTTATTCTCCTAATATTGACAATTTTTCACATAGTGGTGTTTACAAGGGTCACAAAGAGTTGTACAAATGGACAGCAAGGTGCAGCTCTTAACACAAAAYTGGGCTGTATTTGTCAAGAGCTCTCATCAGCTGAAAGGAGCATATGCACAGGACAGAGCAAAGCAGGCAACACYGCAGCAAGAAGAGAAATGCCAAAGGGAGCCTACCTTCAGAACGGACTGGTGCAGTTTGTACAGAGAATTAACCACAGCCACGTTCCTCCTCTGGCCCTCTGTCAGTGGCCCAATCACCTGGCTGGCGTCTCCTTGAGTAGACAGCTGCAGTGACCACAGAAATTGTTAGCAACAACTCTTTAAACTGTGCATCTCCCCARATTAAACTCAGACCACAGCAGAAAGCCAAGGACCTCAGTACTCAATGTTCTTCTATTTAACCCTTGTTTTGATTCATACAATTTCCATCTTCAGATAAAACAGACTAAACAGCAAGAGGAACCTTGACAGACTATGTCAGCTCCCAAGTCACAGCACTGAGATCCAGATCACCTGGAGATACCTAGTACCAGCATAACTTCAACTTTGTAATCCAAGAGTCAGGTGAAATCACCTACCTGAGGACACCCAACAAAATACCAGCAGCTTTTCTCTATGAGCAGAATACACTTTTCTGTATACCCTCAGTCTGTCCTTCTGACAGCCATTCAAGCCTCTCCTTGAAAGCCCTGCTTTTTCAAATAGTTGGCTTAAAGCYTTGTAAATATTAGAGGCTTGTAAGTCAACAGAAAAATAGAACTATGAGGACAAAAACTGCTAGACCTGTCATTAAAGACATCCATGAATCTTTCAGCAAAAGTCAAAGAAATAGTTCTTCATATTTAAACTGCCAAAGCATGCATTTTTATTATGACAGAAATCAAAGTTCCAGGGTGATACATAAACAGTTATTAACTATGGAACAGTCTCTTCAGGATACCAAAGCATCTATTTGTAATTTAAAATATAATAAACTRCAATTGGGAAACAAATGGAAATTTTCTTGTGCACTGAAAGCTGCAGAAATACAAAGAATTGATGAAAGGCTATGTGAAWTCCAGAAGTATAGCTAAACATTAAAGCAACAATACCTATTAATAGAAGGCTTTTCTGAGATAAAATTACCTGACTAGTTATCTGTATTTCAGGATACAGAATTACCCTCCAGGAAACCCMTGAAGATGTCTACTTGCAAAAATCTCTCAGCAAAAATATATTCAACTCAGTAMGGAAATGGTCAAGAGACTTTTATATCTAAACACAGTTGTAGGCCATACAGAAAGCTCCTAAACTAGAATTGAATATAGAGTAAAAATTCTTTAAGAACAAAAGAAACAAACATAATATGAAATTTTTTAAGGTAGGGGAAACAGCAAATCTTCACTACTGAAAGATTGTTCCAGTAGTTCCCCTACCTTCCACACAGTGTAAACACAGACAGCATACAAGCACAGTTATCTAGTATTTTCCAGCATTGTTAATGATGAAGTTTTAGACAGGTTCTTGCAGTACCCAGGAACTCTAATTTATTCACAGCACTATGGTGACAATATCAGTTCATTTCTCTTTCTTCAAACTTAGGGATTATTTCAGAATAAATAAGTTTCTGACGCCTTTGTAGAGGGAAAGATCTTTTCCAATGTACCTTCAATTATTTGACATCAAAATGTATCTTTTAACTAGTTGACAAATATATCATTGTGACAGCATTTTCCTGCCTCCCTGATGAGAACAGCCATGAGAGCCACAAACATCCCTGTTTCCTTCTAGACACTTCTACTTGACAGACATGACCGGTTTTCAGAATTCTGCTTCTCACACTTACAGCTTCACAGATTAATAACAAAACAGCTGTGCAAAGAAAGACCCCATCCATCCAGCTGTCCACCCTCCCAGACAAATAACCTTTTTCTCCACACTTTTTAAAATGAGTGTATGGACGAATTGCACTGTATGGACAAATTTGTATTTTTGTACACTTACAACTTCTCAATCAATGCTACYAAACCAATAAAATTTTACATCCCAGTTACTTAAATTTCAGTTCCTCAGAGTTTACTGTAAAGGTTTCACAATTTCTTAGACATTAGACTATGTCTCTTCTGCTAGTGGAAACTGGTAAGTAAAACCATTAACAAGTACAAACATAACCCTTCCGCAATAAAAAGAAACTCTTGCAGTCAGCAGTCAGCAGTGCAGTATGCAGTCAGTGCATAACAGCTACACAGGCAAAATCTGAAAATACCTTAAAAACAACTAATCTTTGTAAACAGCTTACTATATTAAATTTCCTTAAACAAATCAACTTCAACTTTGGCAGTTAGATGTGTTGATCCCTTGTACATTCTAAAATCATTGGTCTAAAGCAAAGAGACCTGAAAAACTTGACTATTGTAAGTAGCAGGTGGGACTGGGCAGCCCAAGGCTCCTAAGACCTTTTCTCTTGAAGGTGTGCCATGGAAACARCTGGCACATGCATGGGTAGCTTTGTCCTACTATTATGGGAACAGCTGGCACCTACGTGGGCAGGCATGTCCTACCATTTACACAAGTCTCTCTCGCTGTCACCACAATGATTTCTCTGACTTTGCCTCAAGGCAAGAAAGTTCTGCACTCTGTCCAATTTGGTTTGTGCACATACACTGTGTCACTGGCAAGAGTCTGGGTTTCAGACAGTTTATCATTATTCCAGTATTCTAATGCCTCACACTAAATTCTTGACACAACCAATATCCATTTTACAATCATACATCCAAGTTAGAAAAAATGCTATTATTGTGTCTCCTGGTTCCCAGAGACCASGCTTTTGGCCCATTTACTACAGACACAAACCATCCCTTCAGTTTCTTTTTCAACACACCAGGTTTTATCAATGGTTCACATTTATCACTCTCTTTTAAACAAAAAGTACTTTTAAAGTTCTGTGCTAGACACAGGTTATGCATTTAAACCCCCTGGTAATGTAACTCTTCCTCTGTTATCTGCCCACTGGGGACTGTACTGTGTAAACAGGTTAAGTCAAATAAATGTGAAGCCTATGCACGCCTGTTCAGCTGAGAGATACAGTCCAAAGGCTTTCTTTTTGATGATGCCACTGGGGAAAAAATCAGACACCTTTTTAATCAGTCAGATGTATCCTGAAATGCAGAGAGCCAGGAAGGGTGAATTATGCTCAGCAGAAACAGGGGGAACAGAAGGGGTGACTTCATCCCAAATCAGAATCTATTTTGGGAACAAGTAAAAGACCAAGTGCAGCTGAAGGCCAGATCCCATCTCCAGGGAGCTGTCAGTCACCCTGGGAGTCAGTCTGGCTTAAACCTGCTAGCTGAAAACAGAGGAAAAGAAACTATGCTGAAGGCAGACCTGAATGCACAGCAATAAGGACTGTAACTGTTCCATATTCCTGTATCTGCCTTAAGTACAGCAATTGATTTCTTACACTCTTCACTTCAATTTGTTCAATTGTTTCTGCTTTTAACCCAAGCCTGTCTATTATTTACAGTAATTTCATGGGCAGTAGCACGGGCACCCATTCCCCAGCAAGCATCAGTTCTTCAATGGGTGACCCATCAGMTGAGCTCCCTTTGCAAACAGGAGCTACAAGCACACTGCCAATGTGGGATGCTCACGAGGAAGAGTCAGGCAGAGAACTGTCCTACCAGGAAATATCAGGCAGGACTGGTGTATCATGCATCCAGGCACTGGGACAAAGGCTGTGTCTCCTGTAAAGAACRTGAATGGGACCTTCTGTCCCCTGCAGCAATTAGAAACTGAAAGGGCAGCTGTTAAACTGAAATGAGAAAGAACACTGGGAGAGAATGCCTTTTTGACATATACATGAATGTATTCTCTAAAGCAGGAGGTTGAAATATGCAGGGTTCAATCCAGGAGCTGGAGGGAGCAGCATAGAAGGATTCTGGATGGGTGTCGGGGGAGGGTGCTAAATCTAAATCAACAGAATCTGAGCCGYAAGTAGTAGATTGATATCAGGTAGCTTACTGAAGCAAAAAGGACACTTGTAGAAGCAAACACACAAATAATGTGTCATAAAGAGGAACAAGCTGACTTAAGGTCACCTGACTTACTTCAGCCTGACACGGTTGAGAAACTGTAAGCCATGATTGGCACTGTGCTCTCACTGAATTCAGAAATCTTTCTGAAAAATGGTTTCTTTTAGTTTGTATCCTTCAGTACACCTACAAAGTTATACTGCTTCACCTCCAGAGAGTGCAGGTGCCTCACCTTGGGTCAGTAGGTTGGTCAGTGCAGCAAATTTCAGGAATGGTTCACCTGACCACATGCATAAAACCATGAAGCAAAGAAGTAAGAACTTGTACTGAGTAATTCACCTCATCTATTTTAAAGCCCCTACTTTGGGGATAGAGTAAATGCACCCTGTATGCACCTATTTCCCTTCACCAGCTATAAAGGGAATTTAAAGCAGTACCACAGATACCTAGTAGTCATGTCAAATGCATTYTCACCCTATAAATATATTTGCACCCCTTTGCATAGACCTACTTTGGAAATATGTCTTGGAAGTAACCAGATCAAGTGTTCTGGATTTGACACTTCTCTGTGTTTGATGCCTAAGAAGAGACATGAAATTTGACAGCATGGATTTGATCTCACATGTTGAGACATGTGCAATGGAAAGACTGCTTTGGGATTAAATTCTTGTTTTCACCATGAAGCAATGAAAGTAGAATTTAGATTAGGCCATGAATCAAATCATCAGTTCTCCCCTGGGTTATAAATAAAATGCTAACTGAGTTTGTCTTTTTCTTGTAAGAAAGCTCAGACTATTGATACATTTTTTTCCTGTAATTTTTTTTTTTTTATGCTTCAAAGTGACTAATGCTCCCCTCTTTCAACAGGTGGCAGCTCAGAAGAGACACTGATTTGTGAGCTGGTTTGCTACTATTCCCTTCACAGACTACATCTCTTGTGAAAAACCTCAGTTTCACACTCAGTAACTAAGATCTCCTGTGCRTCCTTATTGACAGTTTTGGAAAGCTCCATTTATTTGATTTCTCTAAAACAGCCTCAGCAAACCCATTTTCTTTAGAGCAGGAAACATCACCATAATTTAGGAGCATGGAGATCCTAAAATAAGACTAAAGCAGTGCTTCTGAATAAATCATTCAATCTAACTCCAGGATCATGATACTAAAGAGTGTTTTGATAGCACAAACTGAACTGCAGTTGTCAAGCTGACATTTTCCACAATAAATACATTCCTAATAGAGGCAGCTGATGTTGCCATACCTCTGGCAGAAGGCAAG